TTGCTCTATTCACATTCTCATAGAAGCCTATTAATTAGAACTACAGTTGGGTATAGACTGCTCTCTGGTGGCACAAGGTGACATAAAATATTTAACTACTGGAAATGCTCAAATGGAAAACTGGGACATATTGGTATGAAGGATAGCCTATAAATATACTAAATAAATGAATGAGGAATACAGTGAAAATTCTACATGCTGAATATCTTTCAGCTTCTACAAAGCTGAGTCAGAAGAGGTTAAATAGGAATCCTCTTGTCTACATGACTTAATAGCCTTAACACTTCTCCGATGCTAAAAGTTACACTATTCTGATTTGGGTTTTCAAACACAAACTGAAAGATCTAAATTGAAGGGGTTTTTTTATACATGTGGGTGACTATGGTGAAAATGTGGAATTGCACTTACAAATAAAACAATTTTTAGTTACACATAGGAATAATTCAAATGCTTGTTCAAAAGATATAACTGCAAAGAATAAAAGTATGCTCAGATATATAATTGCTAAGAATCATACAGAATAATTTAAATAAATGCACATACTTCTGAGGATGTAACCCTTAACAATTCAGAGGATATCATAATGGTACAAATCTATGTAAGTACAGGAGGCAGAAACACCTCTGATATGGAAATGCAGGCCATGTCCAACTGTGTCATAAGATATAAACCCAATACAGAGCACAGCATCATGCCAGTGCCATAAGACACAGCTAAAAAAGTCTTATAAAAACAAATGAACCCTTCAATATCTATGAAGAATCCAGTTATGTGAATACTTCCAAACCACAAAAGAGCACATGCAAGGCATGCAATTACACCCTCCATTTCTCCAGTGGTAAATAAAGTCTATGAAGAAGCTGTGCACAGTAAAATGGTATGAAAAACAGACAGCATTCTCATGAGCTCCAGTCCTGCCCAAGTCCTTTTCAATCTAAAATGCCCCCAGCAATAATGTTACAGAAAGTAAAATTATTAGATTGTAGGCATGTACTTTAATTTATTTACAAATGCAAAGTCACAATAACCAACTTTCCTTCCCATACTCCCTGGAATATCCAGCCATCATGTTACTATTGTCTTGACTTTTGTTATTTTCTTGGTGAAGTACAGTGGCTAAAGGCCAAATTAGATAATACATGATGGCCACATGTATTTTATCCACATCTGCCCCATTCATGGAAAGTAAATGTGGCATAGGTCAATCCTTTGCATGAAAATGGAACATGCACTGGGCTCCATTTCCTTAAAACAATTTCCTTGCATAGAATCATAGACTAGTAGAGTTGGAAGGGGCCATGAAGGCCATTGAGTCCAACCGCAGCTGTTGCAGGACAACAGTTTACACCATCCCACTCAAATGGCTGTCCAGTTTGCAACCCTACTTACTTCTCAAATCAGAACTGGATGGAAACAAAATTGCTTAAAGCAATGGAACATCATAAGGCAGGTGCAAAAGCTCTGGCCCAGAGAAGTTTGCGTTAAATTCTGCAGTACCCTCTCACTCTGTGCTGCAGACCAGGCACCTCCATAAGCCCCTTCCCTGCTGGGAGTTGGGAGGGCAGCAGGGAGAAGAATCTCTACTGTTATATATTATCACCCATTGCAGAGAATACTGGGGGTTCCCCTGCACTACTGCTTTGTTGCTCATGGTTTCCCAGTTAGAACCATCATTTTAACTATTTTGATGTTGCACCTTAAAGAGTCACATACGTTATGCCATGGAGACAAATCACATACTCATACTGAAAAAGACGCAGTCAACATCCTATAGTATAGGATAGCAATAGTATATTGCTATTTTCTTCAAAGAATCAAATTTATCCTGAGTCATTCCTTCTTTTTAACTAGAAATCTTAAAAAATAAACATTATAATTTAAAGGAACCCACATTTTTGATAAGAGCATTCCGCCTTGCTATCTCCTAAATGGATAAATGCAGAATTGGCAAGGAAGCTGGTAACTGATTTCAGGATTTAACTAAACTTTTCTAGTAATGCCAAGTACAGCATATTACAATTTGCCACAAACCAATCCAGAAATATATGTCTTCCCTGCTCAGCATGTTGCTTCCTTGTAATCACTACAAGAAAAGCTTGTTTGTTTGTTTGTTTGTTTAATTCAACCAGTCAGAGCTTTACATTCGTGCCAGGTGGTAGAAAAGCTAGTTTTTTCACAATAGTATCAAGAAAATGTACAGCAAGTTTTAGCTAGGTGAATTCCTGTTCAGCTGCAAGTGAAGAATATTGCTGTGTTATCCAAAGATGTGGAAACCCTTCAGTCACTAAAAAATACTTTCCTTCTCTCCATCTCTGCATTTCTAAACTATGACGCTTTATCACCCACTTTGGTTGTTGCTGCTATAGATTTTTTGGTGATTAGTTTGGGAGGAAGTGGGGGAGGTGACATATTAGAGCAGCATCCAGCACTACCAGAATACTAGATTCAGCGGCAAATTACCACTTTCTCCCTTTGTCTAGCAAGTAGTAATGATGTTGCACTAGCATCGTTTTACACTAATACAATGTCTGTATTGTTAGGACTCATGCTGTCACAGCACTTGAAACAGTAATACCTCGGCTCATGAACGCTTCTGTTTGCGAACAACAGAAAATTCGGCAAAATTTCATTCACGAACTCCGCATCGGGGGACAAACATGATCGCAGCCATCGTCCCCGCACCACGACCATGCGTCAGAGCATGTTCAAGCAGGGAAGGTGGCCGCATTCACATTTGTGAGGTTGCAGGACCATGAAAGCAGCCATTTTCCCTGCTCTGACATGTGGTCGTGGCTTCTTGTAGTCTGCGGTCGCAGACTCTCCCTCCAAACAATAACCTCCTCCCCACCCACCTTCCTGTCCTCCACGCCAGAAGTCGCCTCAAGCAAGGTTAGTGTTCTCTCTCTTCATACTGTACTGCACTGGACTTTGTTTCATATTTTTGTGGTTAAAAAAATTACATATGGTTCAGAACGGAGTAATCTTATTTACATTGAACCTTATGGAGAAATTTGACTCAGTTCGCAACCAATTTGGTTCACGACCAGAATTGTGGAGCAAATTAAGTTCGTGAATTGAGGTACCACTGTACTAGCCTTCAGCTAAAAGAAATTGGTATGCCACTTGGGTATGTTGTGTTTCCTCAAATACTAGCACCAGCAGTAGCTGTATTACATTCTTAACATGATCCATTATTTCAGACATAGCAAAGAGTTTGGGAGAATTCTCACGGAATCGAAAAGAACATACTATGCCCTATATTTGTCACTGGCCAGCACCAAACTATAGACTAATGTGAATGCACCTGGGCTACTTTAGGAATGCTCACTTTAGGTTAATCCAGCAACTTAAAACAGAAATATTTGGTGTTCCTTTTCACAGAAGCTGCATACTTAATCCTCATCTGACCAAAAAAAGACCAAAGCCTTCTTTTTACAATTTTTTACTGAGATGGACTCTCTCTTTCGAGAAACTGCCACAGCTTTTACATTCAGCAGGAGCAGCAATCTGGATGGCAAGGAGCATGGTGATGGTTTGCCCCAGTGAAGTTGTCAGTCCTGCAGAAGCTAACTCCAAAAAGTTTTATAATTCCAGAGTGGCGGAACAATTACTGCATGTTTCTTTATTTTAGCAGTCATAACAGTCCTAAATGCAATCTGAAACCTACATAGCACATTGTAGAACCTACTCGTTTTATCAGATACTTTAGTCTGTGACTAAAAGCAATGGCTTCAGCATCAGCCACCTTTTTCTTTCCCACTTCCTGAATTCTAGAGAATTCAGAACAAAAAAGTTATCCAGAATTCAAAACCTGTTCAGTATTTTGCTTGGTCCAATAGTGATATTTCCCTTTGGTGAATCTGAGGCAGTTTAATTTTCCAGTGGGCTGACACTGCACTCTCTACAAACATTAGGTCTGCTTAATGTGAGAGAATTTTGCATACTACCTTGAACTCTTTAAAGGATGGGTAGTATAGAAACAACACAAACATACTATAATTAGGATCAGGTTCTCATTGTCTGATTTTTCCCCTAAAGTAAGCTAAACTCAGTTCACGGATTTGACTGCTTTGGAGCCTTTCCTGTAGGGTTAAAATCCAAAAAACAGCAGGCCTTTCAACAGTATATAATGAACAAAAACAAGGCATGTCTGCCCTTAAGTTTTGCAAAGAAATTTTAATTTCTCTGGAGGAAACAATCCCATCACTTCGTATTTAGAATATCCTATTTCCATACAAAGAGTTTCCATTTGAATGCACATGAATATACTGGAACACTCTCTTTAAAAACTGAATATTCAACAATAAGAAGAAGTTTATCACAGCTGCTTTTTTTAGACGATTGATTATTACAGTACCACTGATGGTCTGTTAATTTTCATTTTTCTTTCTTTGTCTGTCTACACTCTCCACTTTGGCTCATCTGTATTAGAAATATCAGAACAACTGCACTGATGATCACTGTTTGGAGAAGGCCATAAAATTGTTTCCACAACTTTAACCATTTAATATCTAAATAAAATCAACCTCTAAAGAGTCTTTTATTAGTCATGTTAATTGCATGGCTAGCCTTGTGACAGTCCAAGTGCTTAAATTGTGTTTTTAGATCAGCTTTATTTGGGCATTATCTTACTACAGTCATCTTTAAAAAGCCAACCTGTTCTAGTACAGAATGAACTCCCATTTGACACTCCAATCCTAAACACAGTCCAGTGAACACAATGGAACACATCAAAGCCCTTACTGAAGAGAGCTGTAAAGACATGTTCATGTGAATAAAGCATTTCTGTGAGTGGTGGTCAAGAGTAAGCATTTCACTGCTGTACTGTCCACATGTCCAAAAGAACATACATCCAGACATGGAGAACAAAGCCTTCAAGTATACCTCTGTGCTCTCTTTCATGCTCCTGCCCACAATGACTTCTATCTCCTTAAATTGAACACCTGAGCTGCAATTTAAATCATAATGATAAGGGCCCCAGACTTAAATGAATCACTCACTTTGTCAAAAGGAATTCCATATTTTTTCAAAATTGAGGGAGAAATTAAGGTCATCTTATGGCGTAGAAAAGCATCACATCCTTGAGAGCTGCTTGGGAAAAATCCTAGTAAGACAAAAATAGACAGAGAATTGTATTAGTTATAATAGTACGTTTGAATAACTGACTTTATTCACAATCATATAACATCAGTCTAAATCTACTGGAGAACTGGGGTTGGAAAATAAGGTTCTAACTTGGAAAAATATTAATTCTTTTTTTTGTCTAACAGGTCATGCGTAAAACCAAACAATACATGACTAACCACTAATACATAGCACTTTTTAGACAGACATAAAGCCATCAGGCCTACTGACCAAGTACAGCCCACTTGGGATTCTTAGATACTCATGCCCCTTTCCTGAACTAACAATCATTTGATAGTTTCTTTTGTGCAGCTTTCCCAATTTTAAAGGAGAAAACAACTAAAGTTTTCTGTTAAAATATACTGATATTTTGGACCTTTTCTTTCCTTCCTTCCTTCCTTCCTTCCTTCCTTCCTTCCTTCCTTCCTTTTTTTTTTTTTTTCCTTTTTTTTTTTTTTGGCCTTTGGCCTGTTCCCTTTGCCTTTGGGTCTATTCACTACTGGAATGTGATCCTCAGAGTTTTCCTGAAATAGAATTCAGACCTGAAAGAAATTCTGCACCCCTCCTTTGCATCATTGCACATTCGTAACCCTGTCACATTTGCGCAATCCCTAGAAAAGAGGTATTTTTATGTTTGGACTCTAGTTACATATATTTTCTAAGAAGGAATTTTCAGTGGCATGAACAGCAGAATAGTTTATTATTAACCTTGCTTGACACATAAAACAGATGGTGTAATGATTTAAAGTGTTATGGGACTGGGTTCCTTTAAATTTTGGTAAGTTTCAGAAGAGCAAGGGGGGAAAGGGGGGATGAGTGAGTGAGGTGATTGGATGGTGACTGAGAGTGTGTGGGCAGCGCTTGGAAGCGCGCAAAGGAAGAGAAACGGCTACTTATCAATCAGTTGTGATCTGAGAAAAGTTCACAGTCAGTGAGTGGTGGACTGTCAGCATTTATAGTCAAGTGTGATCTGTCAGAAATTAACAGACAGAATTGTGGAATTGTAGTCCAACAATGGCGCCTTGGGCCCAATACTGATAATTAATTAGATTGGGATTAAATCTCTGGTGGCAGCATCACCTACCAAGAGAAAGAAAGGGAGAGTTAAGAAAGTTGAAGACACGCCATATCTCAGCAAGTTATAGGAATGTACCTGTAACAGATGGCTTTTCAAGAGAGCATATATGTGGACAATGGAACACAATGGATTGGACAGGCTGTTATATTCTGTTGCCATGAAGAGATTATGAATATAAATACCAGAAATCACCTGGTCTAGACAGGTGTCCAGTTGTGCAGCATAAAACCTGTTCTAGCCTCATAGTCCCAAAACGACTTGGTTTGTATTCCTAAATTTTTAATTGGTCTTGTCCACTGCATCATTAAAGGATGTCTGTACTACAATGACTCTCAAATCTGGCAAGGTTCGTATTTCTTGTGTTGTGCTACAACACTGGCTTGACCAGATCAAGTAGGATTTATTAAACCCCAAAGGGAGGGTTGTTAAAAGGATCACTTGTTGACTTCACTGTGTTAAACTCTGATAGAACACATGAGGCTGCCATTAATTCTTTGAATACTGAAAAGTCCTTTGACAAAATCCATTGGAAATTTATTTTTGTGGCATTGACAAATGTCAGGTTTTGAAATGGGTTAAAATTTTATATTCCACCTCAAGAGCAAGCGTTATAACCAGTGGGTTCTTTCTACACTTGGCAAAGCAGCTAAACAGGGATGTCTACTTTCTCCACTGATATTTAACATGCCTGGAACCCTTGATATTTGCCATTAGACAGAAAATGGCATTGTTCAAATTGTTTAGAACTCAGAATTATTCTTTACACAGATGGCTTGTTATTGCTTATTTCAGAATAAGTATCCAGTCCCACTTTGATGAAGTTGGTCAATGCTATGGGGAAACTTTCTGGTTATTCATTAACTAGACGAAGTCTGAACTGATGCTAGTTGGAGATATTACTTCTCATAGTGTATTAGCGAACTGGCAATTTCAATAATGTTCCATATATACTACTTATTCATTCATATAAATATGTTGCAAAAATAATTAAACTACAATTGAATAGGTCAATAGTAAGATCTCAGACACAGACTGGCATCTTTAAAGTTAAGTCTGTCAGATAAGTTTAAATATGCTGAAGATGAATAACACACTTAGGATTGGCTGGAGAAATGGGACTTGGAGTAATTTGAATTTGATTTTAGAATGTTTAAAAAATGTGTGTGTGTGTGTGTGTGTGTGTGTGTGTAGTAGGGGGTCGACCCAGTGAATCCGATGTATGTGATATTTGATGTTTTTATTAGTGTTAGTTTAAAACTTTTAATAATACATACATACATACATACATACATTTTAAAAACACTTAGGACTGTTTTCATGTTACATGGGATTCCTTTATACATACCTGACAAAATTTCAAAAATTTAACCCTTGGTTTCCTAAATTGGGGGTGGCAGGAGAGAATTTTCTCTGCCATGCATACCTTTGAAAAGGACACAGGTTTCCTGTCCAGGACTTGCATTATACTGTATTATTGTATTATACTTGTATATGTCATGACTATTTGCTGACCTGTTCTAAATTTTGGTCATTTCCACTTAGATTATATTTTTCACCATGGTCTGTTTTGGAATCATTTTGCCTGAACCCTCAGTTCAAGTGGATGGCATTAGGCTCCCTACATATTCAAATGGGTAGGTCCTTCCTACTGTTGCGGGGGGGGGGCAGTCAATATTGCATCAATTACAATTATTTATTCAATTTTGCACACTTAATTGACTGTATGGCCATATCCAAGCAGATTTTCCTTTGGATCAATTAGTACAAAAGATGATGAAGTTTTTGTCATTCTCTGATTTGTGTGTGAATTATAATCGGTTTGCAAAATCCTAGTAGCAATATTTACACATGCAACATTTGCTAGAATCCAGGTTTGGCCCTGCAGTGTTCACAGCTGCATCATCTTCTCAGTTTTTTCAAACACTGATTAAGGCTACTCAGTTACATTGTCCCACAACCCATGTCTACAACTACCCATCAACTGTGAACAAATACAATACACTGGATATAATGGAGGAATAAAATAATTAATTAGACTGTCATATTCACTGCAAACAGTGGATCGCTGCTATACAGATGATATCTGAAGTTTAAGTGGAGCTCAGATTGTGTCTTACTCAACAAAAACAACAACTTGTGTTTTGTGTTTATAGGACCCTAGTCTCTCATTATTAATGGTATGAGTCAACTAACAGCTGGAGGTTTAATACTGTTAATACTTCTTTTAATCATAATTTTTTGCAAAAGCCAGTGGTTGCCACTTTGGAGGTGGCATAATACAGATAAACAATACAGATAAACTTTGTATTAGAACACTGTTTGATATTTTCTGATATAACTGTGCATTTAAATTGTTTGCCTATTACTTGGAAGGTAAAGCTCTGTCAACATAAATGGATTTCCCATGTCCTTTTGAGAATTAAAGGACTATAGTACAACACAGTAAAGATAAAATCTATAACACAATGGACTGAAAATTTAATGACACTTTCAATATTTGTTCAAATGACACACAGATAGCTCCCATGAACTGGCATACAAACATATGGTCTGCCTTTGTTGAATTGATACACCTGGGTTTATGCCGATATTTGGATAGTTACATACCAGTAATTGTTAATTTCATGGGATGGCATTCCCTTGGGTCAGTTTAATTTCGTTTTGGTAAATTCACAAAAAATAAAAATAGGGTGGAGGGGGACTGAACCAAGTTCTGTTCAGAATGCTTCCTCTGGAGGGAAGTGGAGAGGCATTTTTGAAGATTCTTCCCTCCCACTGCAGCCCCCAGTATCACTGCCCCTACTATTTTGCAGACCCTTCTAAACTGTCAAAGGATTTTTTTTTGAGGGGGGGAGACATTGGGGAATGCAAGGAGGGGAAAAGAGGGGAAATCAACTTATGTTTCCTTATCAGACTCTTTCCACAAACAATGATGCAACATGGGATGCCCTTTCCAATGGAATAACAATGTTCCTAGTAATGCAAGATGCCCTGCCTCCTTATAGTCTTCTACATGAGGATTAATTATACTCACAGTTAATTCAGAAGTAGAAATCAATTTCAATATATAGACTGGCATATCTGTATCAAGGTATACAGTTGTAGCCTTGTGGTAATCGCACACTTATTGTCAATTCAGCAGAACCATGACAAGTCTAAATGTGTAAATGGGCAGAGGACTGCAGTGTTATTCTCTCAACATTCAGGACAGTCATGCATTGAGAAAACTGCATATACAGAAACTGAAGTACATGAGACCTAATGACATTTGCCCAGTAAACTCCTATAGTACTGTTGGCCTTAGGGTAAATATCACTCAAGATCCGTATCCTCATATTATTATTTTATTTATATAGCATCTCTCCTCCCACAGGAGCCCAGAATGCAGGAATAGGAAAACCCATCCGCTAACCATATACTTCAAATGAACTCATCACACTTTTTAAAAATCTGTACATTTGTGCTGCATTAAATAAATTAAATTTTAAATTAAAATCAATGAAGAAAGAAGAGTCTATTTAAATCTCCTCCTTTATGGATTTGTAATCAGGGCCTGAACAAATGTGGTGACTGGTCATAAGTTAATTTAAATTGGAAAACCACTGGAGTAAGGTAATGCACAGTATATTAAGCCCAGCATATCAGTTTAGAATGTGTATTTACAATGACCCTGGAAAATTATGCCCTATATCATCTCAGCAGGGGGAAAAACAATGCACAATGCAAGATACATGCTTCGAAAGCCAATCTTCTGTGAATATTTTAAATAGGTTATACTTCTAAGGCCAGCACATTTTTTCTTTTTCCACTTTTCAGCATTTCAAAGGAAAATAACAGCTCATTTGTGCCTGAATAATTGCCTAGGCAGACTCCCACGGGTGTGGCATAAGGGGCACTGGTGG